GATAGTTATAGAAGTTCACAGAACTGACTCAGCAACAGCTGAGTAAAACTATTTCATCTGAGCATGTGGCACTTTAAGCATTATCGTATCGCATATCGAATATCGCATTATTTAATGAGTTATTGCATATCGCATTTTTCTTTAATATCGCACAGCCCTAATGTGAATCGGATTGCAAAGTTTAGGGTTCATGTAAATATAAATTTCTGAATCTGAAACTGAATTGCATTCATTCGGATTGACAAAAATGAGTGCATGTAAACTTATCTACTGTTGTTCCAAATTTCCGCACAGCTCTGATTTGTCTGCAAGTAATTACAGTTGTGTGCATGATTGTAAGTTTGATATTGAAAATCATCACAATTAAAAGAACCAAAGACTTAAACTACTTCAGTCTGTGTGAAATAAATGAACTTTTCCACGACATTCTAATTTATTGAGATGCACCTGTAACACTTCAGTAAACATAAAGGTAAGTACAATACACAAAAGACCATTTGTTTTGTGTATTTCTGTTTTGTTATAATAGTTCCAGACCAGAATAAACCATTGCATCCCTGAGGAATTAGTGTTCCGAACAAATCGGCTGAGTATATCATTCAATGACTCATTCACATATTCAATTCCCAACACATAATGGCTAAAAAAATCCCCACTACTAATTCACAGACTGAAGTGATATAAACAGTGAAAAGTCAGCACTCTTATGACATTGCTCTGCCAATCAAATTTGACATTAACATCATATACAACTGGGATGGCAGATATGTTAAGTAAATGAGAGCATTTAAATTTTGGGGCTGACTACCCCTTTAAGATGGCTGAGAAATCTTCAATTAAACTGATTTGTGATTTTCTTCACTCATAATGAATCATATCCAAAAGTCTACTCTTACTCCATTTACAAAGTTGAAAAAAAAAATACATGCAATTCTAATTCAGTGACTCATATTACAGTCAGCTAAACATGATGATTATACTAAACATACTTGGTAATAAAGCTCTTCTGATTCTGATTCTGAATAACAATTTTAAGATGCATAGAAGACAGCTAATCAAACTACTTCTGCTTTAAACATGATATTGATCTTCTGAAGGCAATTTGGTTTTTTGTTTGTTTGGTCTCAAAGTCCAATTCTTCTTGTGCTGTGATTATTGATTCTGCACTTAATGACTGTAGCTTGATGTGAACAACACAGAGGAGAAGCCATCTGGCAGATAAGATTACATTATGGTTTTATACATTATAGTAACTTGATCAGAAAAAAAAGTTTTTGTTGTTGTTTGTTTTAAATATGTGTCAAGGTAAAGACAACACCCCAAAGTAAACATGGTGGTGAAAAATAAAATGCTAAAAGATTCTATTCCACAATGTGACTTAAAAGATTGCGGTGTATACATTTAATAATCTACAGTCTGTTCAAAAAAAAATATTCCACAGTGTAACTTGTCCTTTTCAGTTTTCTGATAACTCGCTAAAAATCTATTTTCGTACAACAGTAGCATCATATAAACATGGACAAGACATTTCCCCAAAATGCAGACCTTCATTACAAAACAAAGGGAATTAATTCTAAAGATAGAAAATCTATAAATATTAAGATCTCCTATACTGGTGGATCAGTCATGGGGATCCTGTTCCCATAGCAACAATGGGAGACAAACTGAGCAACATGAATAGAATTCTAAAGATGTAAGTGACCAGATCATGCTTGAAAAGCCATGAAGCAAACAAAGCCATACTTCCCTCAGTCAGTTTAAGTGATGACTAATCAAATTTCAAATTGGAAATTTTAAATAAAAAGAGGACATATAACAAATAAATAAATGAATGAATGAATAAATAAAGAATTCAAATGATTATATTTGTATTATGTTATGCATTAAAAATAGACAAATATTCCCTATTAAATTCTTAAGACATTTAAAGGCAGAAACACTCTCCTTTCATGAGAAGCATAGTAAAATATGATGAATTCATATTTTCACCAAAACCACATTACTTAGAAGCTGATACTCTATGCCGGTTCGTTTAAAAGGGAACGGCTTAAAATGATGCAAAACAAAGCATCAGCACTCTAAAGGCTGATACCTTTTCGTCCTGCCACGGAACAGTGTCGCAGCTCGTCAGTGTCGCTAGGATGCCAATCAAAGCCGACAGACTCGTGGTCCAGCGTCGTTCGGCCATCTCCTCCGTTCTGTCCGCACGACGCTCTCCCACTCCCACACTGACTCCAGACAACTCGGATCATGTGAGAAAACAATTTACAAATCCTACTATGGCGACGGCCTGACTCATGAATATTAATAACGTTCCGTGACGCTCGGCAAACTGATTTGCTGAAAGACAGACATTGCTAAGTTGAAGGCTTGGCTCATGAATATTAAGTACTTAAGACGACTGGGCGCTCAAGGAAGGTTACCGTGCAACGTCAGTGAGGCTTTATTAATATTCATGATTAACCACTTCGATTCGGCACAAAGAGCTTGCTGTTATCCTGCAAGAGAGAGTTCTTTCTTCGCCTCATTTTCCTGTCCTTAAATTATGGCTGGACGATATGTTCAAAATTTATTTCACGATATATTTCTTAATTTCGGTCGATATAATTCCGCGTCTCAGACTCACCTAATTAATATTAATATCTTTAACTTCAAACACTAACACTACAAGTCAAAAGTTTGTTAGCAGTAAGGTTTTTAATGTTTTTAAAGAATTCTCTTCTGCTCACCAAGCCTGCATTTATTTGATCCAAAATACAGCAAAAACAGTAAAATTTTGACTATTTAAAATAACTTTTCTATTTGAAAAGTATTTTAAAATGTAATTTATTCCTTTGATTTCAAAGCTATATTTTTTAGCATCATTACTCCAGTCACATGATCCTTCAGAAATCATTCTAATATGCTGATTTGCTGCTCAAAAATCATTTATTATTATGTTGAAAACAGCTGAGTATATATATATATATATTTTTTTTTTTGATGAATAGAAAGTTCAGACGAACAGCATTTATCTGAAATAGAAATCTTTTGTAACATTATAAATGTCTTTATCACCACTTTTGATGAATTTAAACGCATCCTTGCTAAATAAAAGTATTAATTTCTATAATTTCTTTCGAAAAAAAGAAAGAAATCATACTACTGACTACTGATAAATACTAAGCTTTTGAATGGAATATAGTGTATAATGTTACAAAAGCTTTTTATTTAAGATAAATGTTGATCTTTGGATCTTTCTATTCATCGAAGAATCCTGAAAAAAAAATTTACTCAACTGTTTTATATATTGATAATCAGCAAATCGGCATATTAAAATGATTTCTGGATCATGTGACACTGAAGACTGGAGTAATGATGCTGAAAATTTACCTATGTATGATCACAGGAATAAATTACATTTTAAAATCTATTCAAATAGAAAGCAATTTTAAATAGTAAAAATATTTCAACATTTTACTGTTTTTGCTGTGCTTTGGATCAAATAAATGCAGCCTTGGTGAGCAGAAGAGAATTCTTAAAAAAAAAAAACATTAAAAATCTTACTGTTCAAAAACTTTTGACTGGTAGTGTAGGCTGATTATTCTTATAGATTGAAACAAATGTGTTTCGGCCAGAGAAAAGGGTATGAAAAGTGCTCCGAGTCGCTGCAGAAAACAAAAAAATTGAAGAACAACAAAAACATGTTGCTGGAGACGGGCTTATTGAAAATGCAAACTGATTCTCTGCCAGCAGGAGGCGCTTTGAGAGCGGAAGAACTAGCGGTTTCTCCAGTAACGGCTGTAATCAAAGCAGCTCCGCTCATGAACGCTTCTTTATCAGATCAACTGAAAATTCCATCGAAACTTTCTGAAGACAGTCATTTCCCTTCAGAGATACATTCATATAAAACACCCTCAGCTTGTTTTGATTTTGAAACTTGCAGTTCTCATGTTTATTCAACGAAGTCAAAAGCCACAAATAAATCAATGCATGGGAAACACTGGTAATGTATATCGAAATATCGGAAATGTGTTTAAAAATCATATCACCGTTATTGAAAAAAATTATATCGCGATACATATTGATATTGAATTATTGTCCAGCCCTACCTTAAATAAACAAAGAATTTAGATAATAGCCTACTGAGTTGCTTTCTGTGTACTAATGGGTACCATTGATATTCAAAATAAATGAAAATATAAAATACAAACAATATATATAAAGGTAAGTTTATAAGGCTAGTAGATTTCTAGATATGAAAGCACAAAGGAATTCGAATCTGTTCTTGTGCTTATTTCAGTGAAAGTTCCATAACTATTAAGTTACAATACTTATTATTTTATCTTCAAAACTGCATTTAAAAAAAAAGAATCTATAGTGACCTGGTTGCCCATTTTCATGGTTTTCATGGTTGCCCAACTGTTATCTCAGTAAATCTAACTGCAACCCTCGCGTCACAAATCGAGATCCTTAATGTTTCAGAATGTTGCGTCCTTTTAATATTCAATGGTCTTTTTAAAATAAATGTGTAGTGAACTGTTGTAATCATCACGTAGTGCTGTACGTGCGCTACACGTGGTCGCACGCGCATGCAAACCCGGAAGTCTTCTGCAGTGAGCTTTCTAGTTCTGTTTGTGGTATTCTTTTAGAAGTTATTCTCACAATTGCTAGTCACAATAACTCCTTGTTAGTAATAATTTGATATCGAGGTGATTTTTCGTGATGGATGATACAATTTTAAGTTTGAAAACACAGCTCTGGGAAAAAGAGAGAGAGATTGCTGCTTTGAAGAAAAAACTTGATCAATCGGAAAAGGTCTGCAATCGTTATTCTACTCACTCTTTGCAAATATTGTGGGTCATCTGTGTAAAGAAGTGGTACTTTTGTGTGTTTCTTTAGCATTATGGTATTTAATGATTTTAACAAGGAGTATTTGATGCTAGCATTTCTTATGTGTTATTGTATGGAGTGAAAACAGTGTAAACCTCACACAAATACACACATCATTTTATTTTCTAAAGATATCAACAAAACATTAACTTAGTAACTTTCTTCTTGGGAATGGTGTTTTTGGTCTTTCCCCAGCTCTGAGTTTCCAACTTCTCATTATTTAGCAAATGCATTTCAAGTTTAAAAATAAATGGAAGGATAGAAAGAAAGAATGAATGAAGGCTAGTGCTATTATGTCTTTATTCTAACTCTTTTTAGGTTTAGGCTGATTAGTATGTATTTTTAAAATGTTGAGGGAATGATTTTAAAATGTCAAACCTGTTATTTAAAGGGGTCATATGATTCTGCTAAAAAGAACATTATTTTGTGTATTTGATATTTGGGTTGAACTGTTCTGGAACAGTGTTGTAAATACAACTTTACCACTGATTTCTAGTCGTGTCCATTTATGGAAAGCAGTTTCGCTTTCACTACGAAACACAGCGTCACACACAGCGGCCTCCAAAGAGAAAGGAAAAATTGAAATCGCATCATATGACCCCTTTAAATCCTACACTGTACACAACAGTTTCTTGACCTTAAGCACAGGGCTGGTAATGTCAAACTTCAGCCCCGTTACAGTTACCTTTCTGAATTCATACCATATATTAGAACATATATTAAAAATAAATAAATAAATTAATAGAGCAGCTCAAATGATTTATTTGTCTGACAGAATCATTTTTTTTTTTCAAAATGGAAAGGTATCTGTGTCATGGAATGACGTACTGTGGCTGATTATGGTTAAACATACACTGCCGTTCAAAAGTTTGGGATCAGTAAGATTTGTAATGTTTTTTGAAGAAGTCTCTTCTGTTCATCATGGCTGCATTTATTTGATTTATTTGAAATACAGAAAAAACTGTAATATTGTGAAATATTATTGCAATATAAAATAATGGTTTTCTATTTTAGTGTACTTTAAAATATAATTTATTCCTGTGATGCAAAGCTGATTTTTCAGCATCATTACGCCAGTCTTCAGCGTCACATGATCTTCAGAAATCATTCTCGTATGCTTATTTATGATCAATATGGAAACAGTTTTGCTGCTTAATATTTTTTTTTTGAACATGTGAGACTTTATTCAAGATTCTTTGATTATTAAAAATGTAAAAGAATAGCATTTATTCAAAATAGAAATCTTTTGTAACAATGCACACTAGTGTTTAAAATTTTGGGATCAGTCGTTTTTTTTCTTTCTTTTTTTTTGTTGAAAGAAATGAATGCTTTTATTCAGCAAGGATGTGTTAAATTGATAAAAAGTGATAATAAAGACTTATATCGTTAGAAAAGATTCTATTTTAAATAATCCTGAAAAAAGTATCACAGGTTCCAAAAAATTATAATATTAGGCAGCACAACTGTTTTCAACGTTGATAATAAATCAGCATTTTAGAATGATTTCTGAAGGATCGTGTGACACTGAAGACTGGAGTAATGATGCTGAAAAATCAGCTTTGCCTCATGGAAATAAATTATATTTTAAAGTATATTAAAATAGAAAACCGTTATTTTAAATGGTAATACTATTTTACAATATTACTGTTTTTGCAGTATTTTTGGTCAAATAAATGCAGCCATGATGAACAAAGAAGAGACTTCTTTGAAACACATTAAATATCGTACTGATCCCAAACTTTTGAACAGCGGTGTATAAGAACCCTTCTCAGAGCAGAGCATTTCTTGTCTGAAAACTGAAAAAGTGCCTCTCTCTCTCTTTTTTTTCAGGGAAACTCAATATTGACAGAGTTACAGGAGAAAGTTACCAATCTTTCACCGCTGAAATCAAACACAACGCTGAACAATGACGACATCATGAGATATAGCAGACAGCTTCTCCTGCCAGAACTGGGTGTTAAAGGTTCAGAAAATATTTTGGTTTTAACAGTAGTTATGAAACTTTTCTTTTCTTAATGCATTGTAAAAATACATTTCTTTCTCCACAGGTCAGGTTGCCATAAGTAATCTATCTGTTCTGGTTGTGGGATGTGGAGGTTTAGGTTGTCCTGTTGCACAGTATCTCGCGGCAGCTGGAATAGGTAAAGTGACCGTGTGTGTGTTTAATGTGCACATAATCCTGTTAAATATATGAGTTTATCTGTAAGTGTGAGTCTATCTCACTGGCTGTTGGTGGCAGTACAGCTTATTATTTAAATAGATACAGTTTGTATAGTTTAAATATCATGTACACTATTATTGAAAAGTTTAGGGTCCGTACGATCAATAATAATAATAATAATGCTATGCATTTTGAAAAGATGAATTACATTGAAATGGGACAGTAAATACTTTTATATTGTTACAAAAGTTTTCCATTCAAATAAAAGCTGTTCTTTTTAACTTTCTATTCATCAAATAATTCTGAAAAATAAATAAATAATAATAATAATAAAATAGCTCACGGTTTCCACCAGATTATTAAGCAGCAAAAACTGTTTTCAACATTGATAATAATCAGGAACATTTCTTGAGCATCAAATCAGCATATGATTTCTGAAGGATCATGTGACACTAACTAACTAATGTAACTAATGTGTGAAAGTTGTTAATGTAGTGTGTGTTTTCAGGACGTTTGGGTCTTTTGGACTATGATGTGGTGGAACTGAGTAACCTGCACAGACAGGTGCTTCATACAGAACTGACTCAAGGCCAGCCTAAAGCCCTGTCTGCTGCCCAGGCCATCAGCAGGTACTGTCATCTTCACTCACAAAATCCCATTAAAGGAGAGGTAAACGAATGAGAGTTGACTGGTAGTGATCTCTTCCAGGTTGAACTCCACGGTTCAGTGTGTTCCATATCACCTCCAGCTCTCCCGAGAGAATGCCATACAACTCATTCAACAGTATCCACTCTCACTAATTGCTACTGATCAGTTAATCTTGAACTTTTCACGGTCCTGTACAGTGCAAAACAGATTTATTTGTCACCTTGATTTTGCATCCTCATGTATGACGTTGTGGCAGACTGTTCAGACAACGTTCCTACACGCTACCTTGTGAATGATGCCTGTGTTCTGACCGGCAAGCCTTTAGTGTCAGCGAGTGCTTTACGAATGGAAGGACAGGTAAGTGTTTTTGCCAGTGTTTTATTTGAAGTTTTAATTTACAGTGGCTCCAAATATTTGGATACTCTTAGACATTCTTTTAAAGGGATACTTCAGCCAAAAAAAAATTTTTTTTGTCATCATTTACTCATCTTCTTTTTGATCCAAACCTGTATGACCAAATATATGTATGAATTGTTCCATTTTATGCTTGTGAAACATCAGTGGATCATGTGGTGCATGTGGTTATTCAGCAAAAAAACACTTGAGTGGAACTGACTTCACTGAAGTCCACTGAAAATCAACTGTACCTGCATGATTGACTTTCTTCTGTGGAGCACAAATAACAATATTTTGAAGAAAGTTTGGAACCAAACAACAGTGCAGCCCTTTGACTTCTATAGTATAGACAAATTTTATTATATTATAAAATTTTGATTATATATTATGTTTACATTTAGTTTAAGTGTTTAAATACTTTGGGACCACGACATACATACTCTGGTGTTCAAAAGTTTGGGGTCTGAAAGATTGATTGATTATGTTTTTGAAAGAAGTTTCGTATGCTTACAAAGGCTACATTTATTTTATTAAAATGACAGTATATTGTAACAAATATTGTAAAATAGTATTACAATTTAAAATAACAGTTTTCTATTTTGATTGCACCCTATGATGTCATTTTCCATCATGACAATTTTCCCGTCATTTACTTTATCAAACTCTTCCTAGATGGTTTGTCCCATTTTCACCAAAATTGGCTCATATCATGTTCAGACATTACTGGCAAAAAGTTGTAAGTAGACCAAACCATTTTAGTTTAGTGCATTAACAAATTCGACAAAGATGCCAAAATAGTTGTTTGGTATACTGCTATAACTCTGCAATGCTTTGGCATACTGTGATGAAACTTGGTACTTGTCATCACTATCATGACTTGAGGGTATTTGCACAGTTTCGGCACAGTGCCCCTACAGGTCAAGTGATATCAAAAGTTGACATTTTTGCTTTGATTTTTGAACAGTTTGGCCCAAAATCAGGGACGTGCCGAGAGTTCCTCAGGGGCAGGGGCTCAAATGTAAAATATGGGCAATGTAAAAAAAAAAAAATTTGCAAGGAGTCACTTATGGCCATCAACCCTGTATTTATTTGATTTTTGAGATTTGAAATTTTAATATACTTTAAAATACATTTTATGCAATGCTGATTTATTATCAATGTTGGAAACCTGTGATACTTTTTTCAAGATTATTTGATGAATAAAAAGTTTAAAAAGAAAAGCATTCATTTAAAATGTAACTTTTGTAACAATATACACTACCCTTCAAAAGCTTGAGGTCAGTATTTTTAAAAAATTAGTTTTTATTCAGCAAGGATTTTTTAAATTGATAGAAACAGTTATAGTAAAGAATTAGGGCTGTGCAATTAATCACATGCGATTGTCATGCGCATCTCGTCAGTAAAGCCAGTTCCGTGATTAGTAGTAAATCTCCATGACATTATCTCAGATTGTGCCCCAACTTTTTATTTATCAATGAACCCCAAAAAAGTATCACAGGTTCCAAAAAAATAAATAAAAATAAAATAAAAATAAAAGTTAAGCAACACAACTGTTTCCAACATTGATAATAAATCAGCATATTAAAATGATTTCTGAAGGATCATACACTGAAGACTGGAGCAGGCCTAATGATGCTGAAAATTCAGCTTTGCATCACAGAAATAAAAGATATTTTAAAGTATATTAAAATAGAAAAACATTATTTTATATTGTCATACTATTTCACAATATTACAGTTTTTCTGTATTTTTGATCAAATAAATGCAGGCTTAATGAGCATAAGACGCTTTCATAATGCTGCATCATTATCAGAAATGGTAACATAATAAAGTCCTTTAACGTCACCATTTCGCCAGCCTACACGTCATATAACAGGCCTGTAGGTGGCACTTGGGCTTCATTAACTATGATAGTTACATGAAATAGTAAACGGCATAGGCTATCATACATAAATATAAGTGAATGGAATACCGCTTACCATTATTGTGACTTTTGTCGCTGCACGGATTTGTGCAGTGCTTTGTAGTCATTTAGCATCCATTTTCTCAGCGATGTAATTTGATTTATAAAATGAGACGAACCGCAGATCCAGATCGCTCCACAAATAAGCTCGTCTGTCCCATGTAATTTTCAACCGATTTATGAATATGAACAGAAAATTATCGCTCCACTTCACATTATTGTCCAATGAAATTTGAACTTGTGCCAGATCATGATTGGTTGGTGTTTTATACATGACAAAAGGGCATTGATGAATTATGAAAATATATTCTAAAATATATAATTTATGGATTTTTAATTAAATCGACACACTAGCTTTGATTATTGATAAAAAAAAAAAGTTTTAAATATTGCATATTTTTTCCTTCCGTCGACCCACTCACTGAAAGAACTAGCCTATATGGCTCGAGAGCCTAGGCTTCTGAACAGACTGTGGAATATCAGTCACGCAAAAGGAACGCAACCCATAGCAACGCCTCAGATTGACAGATATGTAAAAATGAACAGGAATTTTCTGACTTTTGAGCGATTAGTTACGGTTTTGTACACATTGTCAGGTTAATTATAATTGAAATGCAAATTCCGGCAACCACAGCTGCCGGTTTTTTACCGTAAATTTTACGGAATTTTTTTTACAATGTAGGTTTCTGAACAGACTGTGGAATATCAGTCAGTCAAGCAAAACGCAGGCATCCCATAGCAATGCCTCAGATCGACAGATTTACAGATATGTAAAAATGAACAGGAATTTTCTGACTTTTGAGCGATTAGTTACGGTTTTGTACACATTGTCAGGTTAATTATAATTGAAATGCATTTTTTTTTTATTGACCACAATATTATAGCTATTTGTCTGAGAGGGGCACTTTTGAATAATTTTGAAAAAGGGCAGGGGCTTGAGCCCCCAAAGCCCCCCCTTCTGCACGTACCTGCCCAAAATCATTGGTCTCGTTAGATTCAGTATGGCATACTACATCTAATGATACCTAGTTTTTCCCAAGTCATCTATTTTATGCATCGACCATCCATTCTGAATATTGATGTAAAATGCTATATTTTACAAAGTTGATTTGTGTCTTCAGCACAATGACGTTTTGGACTGCTGCCGCCTAGTGGTCACAAGACATAAAAAAAATACAAATTGCTGTTGTGAATTTAATCCTATGACTATGAATCCAGTGGTTTATGTTTTTCGACAGGCACATTTTTTGTCTGTCCACCATTACCATTACTTTTTCGAACCCATTCTTTACCATTTGTCCGATCTTTACACAGGTCATCATCAGACCATGCTGGCAATAATATTTTTCATATCTTAAACCGTTTCTGTATCTGATTGTCAAATCTGATATCATTGGTATCACCGGCATTTTATGCAGTAACTTTTATGCACTGAAACTTCATGTCAAATTATGACCATATTCTGCCATGTGTGCTTGGCCGGTCACTTTGCCTCTGATGTGGAGGAACAAAAAAAAAAAACTTCCAGAACCCAAACAATATACAGTACAATTTGCTGGAAAGTCAATATGTCTTTCTTATTTAACTGTTTCTCTCTCTCTCTCTCTCTTTTGGGCATGTAGCTTACAGTGTACAACTATAGAGGAGGGCCGTGTTACAGGTGTTTGTACCCCGCACCACCTCCTCCTGAGACCGTCACTAACTGCTCTGATGGAGGGGTTCTGGGAGTAGGTCAGTCCTCCTCTGCTTAATTGCGATTGCATTATTTTGTTGCATAATTATATAATTATTAAATTATTGCATAATTTCAGCCAGACTCTATTCAAACTTTGTGCATTCTCTCTGTTGTTGGTTTTTTAAATTGTTTAAATGAAGAAAATGTATGAAGTTTGAAATTGACTTGCATTGTTAGAATGTGTGCTAGACAACAGAAACTGTATGCTGAGTATCTTGACAAAGGCAAAAGAGCTCTGAATAACTCTTGAGTAATTTCTGATTTAAAAATGTAATGTAAAAATGTAATTCTGTTAGAATTCTGTAATGATTCAGTGATTTTGCAATTATTTCTTAATGTTGCAGGGTTCTGTATTGAGGGTATGACTTTAGTTTGACTTGTTTTGATATTGTGTAGTGCCTGGAATAATGGGTTGCCTTCAAGCATTGGAAGTTCTGAAAATTGCATCCGGTCAAATATGTATCCTTTCTGCTCTTAATGACACCCTAAACTCAAACAATTATGGCTTTTTTATACACACCTAATACCATACTGTAGGCATAACATAATGAAATATCTCCTTAACCGGTCAGTTCAGCCTCATTTGAGAAGCAGCTGTTGATGTTTGATGGTCAGGAGGGGCGTTTCCGCTCCATACGGCTGCGGCCCAAGCAGGCTGAGTGTGTGGTATGTGGAGAGACGCCCACGGTGACTGAGCTCCAGGACTACGAGCAGTTCTGTGGCTCCGCTGCTACAGATAAGGTCTGAGGATGAGGAAAACTCCCACTTCCTATATTCACATCTGCATGTGTCAAAGATGCAAAGTAATCAGCTGTGGTTAAATGTCCACAAGGCGTCACTGTGAGACAGTTCAGTTATTATGGAGAGTGTGAGTTGTGCATTACTTTCATTGTGACCATATGCTACTCTTAAGCTTTGAAAAACATTCATTTATTCAATTAATGGCACATGCACCACACACTGTTCCCAAGAATGTTGGAAATTTCCAGCTGTGAGTTTTAGTGGCGCTTGTTAAGCAAGCATTGCCATTACTATTGGTTATACTGGATTGGAACAAACCTCTAAACCTAGTGTGCTGATCAAAGGTTTGGAATCATTAGTTTTTTTTTTTTAAATGATACTTTTTTTTCACCAAGGATGCATTAAAGGGATAGTTCACCCAAAAATTAAAATTCTGTCATTAATTACTCACCCGCATGTCTATCCAAACCCGTAAGACCTTTGTTAATTTTCCAAACACAAATTAAGATATTTTTGATGAAATCCGAGAGCTTTCTGACCCTGCATAGACAGCAACGCAACTGACACATTCAAGGCCCAGAAAGGTTGTAAGGCCATCTTTAAAATAGTCCATGTGACATCAGTGGTTCCACTATAATTTTAAGGAGCCAGGAGAATACTTTTTGTGCGCAAAGAACAAAAATAATGACTTTATTGAATAATTTCTTCTCCGTGTCAGTCTCCACAGCCATTCACGAGAGTACCACGACCATGCGTTTACAAGCAGAGGAATGCACACGCATGCATCATGGTACTCTTGTGAACGCGCGTCGAGAACTGTCTGACACGGAAGAGAAGAAATACAATTACAGCTCATTGTGTTCTCGTTTGACATTTACACTAGAGAGCATATTGACATTTTGTTTCATTTAATTTATTGCTTAAATTTCCTTTACTTGGTCTTAAAAAGGTCTTTAAGAAGTCTTAAATTTACCTTCATAAAACATGCAGAACTCCTGATTAAAAATACAGTAATAATAATCATCATCATCATTATTATGAATTTTATTGAATAATAATAATAGTAATTATTATTTCAAATATATGACAATAGAAAAGTTATTTTAAAGTGTAAAAATATTTCACAATGTCTCTGTATTGTTTTATCCAGTAAATATAGCCTTGGTGAACATTAGAATCTTCTTCCGAAATCTTACTGATCCCAAACTGCTTTGAGTGGTAATGTGAGCATTATAAATAAAATTTTATTAAATTGTTAATTTTATGAAGTATTTTTTAAAGTAAATGCCTAAAATAATTAAACGATAGTATAAATAATATAAAATAAAATAATACAACATTATTTTAGGTATTTTAAATTGTAATAGTATTTCACAATCTTATTGATTTCGACTGTTTTTTATCAAATCAGCCTTGTGATCAACCTTGGTGAGTGTGGCTGCTTTCAAAAACATTTTAAAATGTTTACTGATCCCAAATTTTTGAATGGTGGTGTAAGTATTAAACTTAAGAAAAGAAAATTCCTTGCATTCGTATAGCGGCCAGGACAAACACAATTAAGTCGAAAATCAACTCAAAAACAACAACACACACAAAAAAAGGTTTGAAGTACAGTCTAAGATGAGCACCTGATCACACATGACATGGCCTTCTTCAAAATTGGCTAAATCAGCATTTATTTGTGGTGGTTTTGGTTTAAACGTTGTGAAATGAAAAACAGTGCTGATTATTCTCTCTTGTATCTGCTTTATTTCATTTCCAGTGTCGAAGACTGATTCTTCTAACCAAAGAACAGAGAGTCTCTGTGCAGGTAACACGGTTGTTTGTCATAATTCTGGGCAGGCGGAGGAATGTAATAAAGGGTGTTTAAATTTCCATTTGGTAGTTTAGACTATATCTTTAGCAGAACCGCACTGTGTTAGCCAGTTAATTACTTAGCATTGTGGAAATGTGCAGCTGCTCGTTATTATGGGGTGCTGTGTGTACATTAATGAGGAAAAAAAATTAACTTAAATGATTTTAGCAAATGGCTGCAATATAACAAAGAGTGAAAAATTTAAGGGGGTCTGAATACTTTCCGTACCCACTGTATATATATATATATATATATTTGTCTTCCATCGCAGGAGTATAAAGCCGTTTTAGAAAGTTCAACCCCTCATCTCCTCATTGATGTTCGACCCAAAGTAGAGGTGGACATTTGCCATCTGCCAACCTCAATCAGTATCCTTTCCCATGGTCTCCATTTAACAATTTATTATTAGACATTTGCAATATTAAAATATACATAAGATGAACTAAACTTGAAGATGAACTTCAAAATGAGAAGTCAAAAATTGAAGAAACAACCATGGTTAAATGATGTTACTCAGAATCTTAGGCGGGTTTGTCGATATGTCGTGCACAAGTGGCTTAAAGGGATAGTTCACCCAAAAATGAAAATTAGGCCATGATTTACTCACCCTCAGTGCATCCTAGGCGTATCTGACATTCCTCTTTCAGACGAGTCCAATCGGAGTTATATTAAAAATTGTCCTGGCTCTTCCAAGCTGTATAATGAAGTGAATGGTGCCTCTGTTTTTGAAGCCGAAAAAAGTACATCCATCCATCATAAAAGTACTCCACACGGCTCCGGGGTGTTAATAAAGGCCTTCTGAAGCGAAACGATGCGTTAGTGTAAGAAAAATATCGATTTTTAAAAATGTGTAAACTGTAATCTCCAGCTTCCGGTTCTATATCTTTAGCAGAACCGCACTGTGTTAGCCAGTTAATTACTTAGCATTGTGGAAATGTGCAGCTGCTCGTTATATAAAGCAGGTCTGATCTGTCACCTTGCACTTCTGTGTACTTTCCTTCCTTAAATGTTCCGGTTGCTCAAGCAGGCGTGTTCACGACAAGGCGTTCGAGCGTATGACGTAGGCGTAGCGGAAGGCGCATCGTAAGCTCCGGGGAGAAGAGTGTAGTCTCGCGAGAACCAAGTTTTGTTTACAGCACAGGGAAACCACGTGAACTACATCTGTAGTTTGTGCCACCGCTGCTGCAGCCTCCTCTATCTCGCAGAGTTCCTGGTCGGTATACTCCAGTTCAAACAAATATGGCTGGGCAAAAAACGCATTCTCCTCTTGCCTTATTTCTAAATCCTCTGACACTTTTGCTTTCTCCTCTGTGCTTCCGCGTTTGTCACTTTCTCCCCGGAGCTTATGTTTTTTTTATACTCTGTCCAAGGATTTGTATGAGCGTTTATAAAAAGTTTTTTTATTGGTAAGAATGATACTATTCTGTCAAATATTTTGCCTGCAGGGAATATTGTTGTTTTTTTAGTAATTTCAGATTGGTTTCCTTAGCCCAGTTGAAAGACATTATATTGCATTTAAAGCCAACTACTTCACTTTATAATGTTCTCCTGTCGCGATTGTTTAAAGAGGTTGTAGACACTACTGGTCCTAGTATTTTAATGATTATTAACAGTAACTTATTTTATGGCAATGTACCATTAGGGTTTAAGTATGCGATTATTGAACCAGTTTTAAAAAAGGCAAATATGGATCAACAGGATTTCAGAAATTTCAGGCCTACAGTATTTCAAAATTTCCTTTCATGAATAAGATTTTGGAAAAAGTTGTTCATAATCAACTTGTTGATTTTTTTGACTGAAAATAACATAATGGATTTTTTCAGTCTGGATTTAGGATCAAACATAGTACGGAATCCCTCATCCCTTAGTGTTATTAAAGGCTGCCAATGATATTTTAAGTATTGACTCTGGGGAAAGGGTGTTGCCTTAATGATGTTAGATTTGAGCGCAGCCTGTGATACTATAGATCATGTCGTTTTAATAGAACGGCTTCGAGAATATATTGGGATCAGTGGTGTAGCCCTTAAGTGGTTTTCTTCATATCTGCAGGACAGGACATGCTCTGTTAAAATTGGAAACCATGTTTCTGCATCTGAAATTACTTCCTGGGGAATCCCACAGGGATCAATTCTTGGTCCAACTTTGTTTTCTTTATACATGCTGCCCCTGGGGTCAATTTTTAAGCAGTAAATTTTTTAGGCAGGTGTTACATTGCAAATAATTTCCTACAATTAAATGAAGATTATTATGTTTGGAGTTTGAAGTTTATTGTATTTGGTAACAAACAGCTTGAGAAAGGTGTGGTTGAAAGCCATGGACTATTGTCAAACAATTTACATGGTTATTTATGATTCTGAAATCCGTTTTGACCGTCGAGTAAACCGCGTTGTGAATACATCTTTCTTTCAGTTAAGGAAATTGGCTAAACTGAAAACTATGCTTTCAAAAAGGACTTAGAAACTGTTTTACATGCTTTTATTTCAACACGATTGGATTATCTTAATGACATATCTAGGCATAAGTGAATCTCTGGTTACTCGTCTTCAGTATGTCCAAAATGCTGCAGCGAGACTTTTAACATCATATAACGTTAATGATCATATAACACCTGTGTTGGTATCTCTGCACTGGCTACCTGTAAAATATCGAATACAATACAAGGTGTTCACGTTTATTTATAAAGCATTGCATGAGCAGTCTCCTGAGTATATAAAGGATATGTTAATCCCTTACCAATCTCATCAACTTCTGCGCTCTTCTCAGAGCATGCTCTTAACTGTCCCAGTCTCCTCTGAGACGTAATGGAGATTGTGATTTTTTCTGTTGCAGCTCCTGCGCTTTTGAATGCACTGCAATTATCTATAAAATCCTTGGCAAGCACGGACATTTTTAAAAGGGACTTAAAGACTTGTTTAATCAGGCATTTTGGCGTTTGATTAGGTCTTGATTAGGTCTACAAATTGTGAATGATTTTTTTTTTTTTTTTACTTGTGAGTACAAAAATACTGTACTTGTGGGTCACCAGTGCACTATGCAATTATATGTTCATAATTAGGGCTGTTGATTTAACACGCTAATTTGGTTAGATTAATTATGAAAAAAATAATGTGTTAAAATTATTCACACATTTAACACACCTCGCCCCGGCCCAGACCTTACATCATCTTACATTGAATGCAGTTGCTGATGAACATGATGCAGGACCAATGACTGCGTAATGTAGCCTATTAGAATGCAGTTATATGCCCCTAAAATACAAGATAAAATTTGTAATGGGCATATATCTGTATGGGTTTTTGTTTTCTATTTATATCATATGATTATAGTGATTCATAAAGACAGTCACTTGCCGCCACCTACTGGTTTTCATATTGAGAGTAGTATTACATTTTTTTTCATTGTCTTTTCCATGCTTTTCACATGAAACAAATAATGACTTTTGGGGGATAATTTCTCAGCCAAAATTGATGTGCTATTGCGATTAATTGGCACATCATGTAATTAATTGGATTAAAAAATGTAATTACTTGACAGCCCTATTCCTCATTAGTTGGGCCTGCTAAGTTTCACTATTATTATTGCTCATAATTTGGGTTAGGGGTTTTTCAGATCTCATTCACTCAACTCATCCTTCTATCCAACAATTCTTAAAAAATCTTGATAATGCAAAGTGCCTATATGCTTCATGTTGTACTAGATGCACTTTTTAGAAACGTTCCCCTATAAATTTTCTCTACCATCTCTACCACTGGTTAGCCAGAAACCTAATGCTATTTTTTTTAAAATAAGTAAACAAAAATATTTTCATTTATTTTTGTATTCACTACACTGTGACAAAAATGTATAGTACCGTATTGTCCCGAATATAAGACGACCCTGATTATAAGACGACCCCCCTTTTTCCAGATGTTGGAAAAAGGCTTTTTAAAAACCAAATCTTGTTTTTTCTCAGTAAAACACATTTTGTCTTCAATTATTTTCATATTGCATATTTTTCCTATTTTAATTTTTGTTTTGAAAGTATGGTAAAAACTGGTAAAATGTACCAACAATCACATTTAAAAAATATACACTTTTTGATATACCATAAAAAAAAAGAAAAAAAAAAGCATCTGAATTAGGACATTTAGGCTATCCATCTAATACCAGCCTACCAAAATCTTATTAACAGTAGAAGTAGAGTTGGTCCCATCAGGCTAACGTTGGGTACTAGGTTTTCTTTCTCTTTTGTTTTTACTCGCGATATTTACAACACGCATTACATTACGTATTTCATGGCACACTCGTTTTATGCGTATTTGGCGCCACCTATTGTTGTGGGTGTATTATTGACATGTCAAAGTCTAGACCCTGAATATAAGACCGACCGTGTTTTTTCAGATGTATTTCCAAGAAAAAAATATCGTCTTATATTCGGGACAATACGGTATATAAATGTTACAATATAAACTGCATAGCTAGTTTTTCCACAGCTGTAAAGTAGTAAGGTACGAAAGACAAAAGCTCACTCTTAACAGGTCACTCATCTGAACACAGTAACATGTTACTGTCATTTGTTTTTCCTGTAAATGTAAAGGACTCTTTATTGAGGCCCCACTAATTTTTGTTTTGAAAGTATGGTAAAAACGGGTAAAATGTACCAACAATCACATTTAAAAAATATACACTTTTTGATATACCATTAAAAAAAAAAAAACAGGTAGCTCATCTGAATTAGGACATTTAGGCTATCCATCTAATAGTAGCCTACCAAAATCTTATTAACAGTAGAAGTAGAGTTGGTCCCATCAGGCTAACGTGACAGTCACGACTCATGCAGCTGTAAGGTTTTCTTTTTCTTTTGTTTTTACTCGCGATCTTTACAACACGCATTACATTACGTATTTCATGGCACACTCGTTTTATGCATATTTGGCGCCACCTATTGTTGTGGGTGTATTATTGACATGTCAAAGTCTAGACCCTGAATATAAGACAACCGCGTTTTTTCAGATGTATTTCCAAGAAAAAAACATAGTCTTATATTCGGGTCAATACGGTAATACTAATTTAATACTGAAATCTTATCAGTTAACGGTTAATGTTCGGATAACGAGCAGCAGTTGTCGGTCGGGAAAATGAACCGAAATGAGCATCCCTACTAAATTTCCCCAAATCTGATGAAAATCAACCTCATCTACATTTTAGATGGCCTGAGGGTGAGGACATTTTCAGCAAATTTTCATTTTTGGGTGAACTATTCCTTTAAAGCTGGTGGTTTAGTTGGGGATGTTCTGACCTTCATGTGACACCGTCG